GCCCTTCCTCCAGAACTGTCCGTGGCTCCTCTGTGCCCTGCCTGCCTGTGGAATAGGGAAAAGCAACCTGACTGCTATGGAGCTCCTGGTCTCTCTGCTCATGGCCCCATCCTAGGGGCAGGGCCTCGGTTGTGGATCTCCCCTAACTTGGGGCTATTTCTCCATTCCACTTGTATAATGGCCATGACGGGCTCTAAGGCTGAGCCCTGCCAGCTCTATGTGTTGGGGGGCCATATTCCTACCATGTTTCCGGGTCTGATCTTGTCTAGCTCAGGCTGAGAGGGGCCCACTCAGAGCCCACCACACCCAGTGGCATCAATCCCTCCCCTTCTCTCTAGTGGTGACATCATCTCTCTCATTCATGACTGAGGAAGTGCCTGCAGGTAATGCCCACCTCCCAAGCGTCTTTCTCACTGTCCTCCTCCTCCACCTCATGCATGAGCAAGTTAAAGAAAAACCCACAGAGCTGATGGGCACAGCAGAGTAGGTAGGACCCGCTTGCTGCTTGGAGCCAGAGCTGCTAACCTCACAGACCCCATCATTAACAGCATGCCGGGGGCCCCGAGTAGCTACAGCCACCTTCCAGCAGCCCCCACCCCACAGTGAGCAGGGAAAGGTATCCCTACTTCTCCGACCTTGAGCACAGTGACAAAGGCAGCTGTCTTGCAGGAAACAAGCCCTGTCTGACCGCCAAGTCTTCGTACTCAAGGATGTCTATGCTTCCCCGTGAGCTTCCCGGAGGAAACCCCCAGGAGTTTTCAGTACCCCCGGGCCACTGCTAACAAGCACCTAACAAGGGGCCCAGAGCCCCCTGCTCCGGCCACATCTGGACCCATCAGTGACTGCCTGCCATAGCCTGAGAGTGTCTTGGGGAGACCTTGCAGAGGGGGAGAATTGTTCCTTCTGCTTTCCCAGGGGACTCTTGAGCTTAGAAACTCATCGTACACTCGACCTTGAGCCTTCTATTTGCCTCGTCTATAACGTGAAGTGCTAGCCTCAGATGTTTGAGAGCTCTTAGCTGTGTACCCAGGTGTCTGGTTTTTGGGGAGTCATCCACAGAGTCACTCACCCACCGTGTTTCTGGTGCCAAGGCTCTTGGGGGCCCCACTGTCATCCCTGCTTTCCCTACCAGGGACTCAGAGGAAGGCATAGGAGATATTTCCAGGTTTCCGACCCTGGGCTCACGGGTTCTATTTATACGCTCAAGGCGGAGTACTGTGGGTGTGCCGGGAGGGGTAGCCCTGTTCAAAAGCAATTTCTGCCCTTTGTAAATTATTTAAGAAACCTGCTTTGTCGTTGTATAAGAAACCAGCGTGTGACTTTCCTAGATAACACTGCTTTCTCATAATAAAGACTGTTTGCATTTGACATCTGTTCCGTTTCACCGGCCACCTCCAACCTTCCCCGCCCTCCCACACCACTCCGGGCCATAGATCTGTCATTTGTGGTCTCATTTGTGGCCCTCATCCACCTCTGCTCTGAGCCAGTCTGCCCCCAAAACCCATCCCAGGGAGAACATGTATAAAGGGAAAGGCTTCTCAGCTTAGTTCGGACGCAAACACACCGTAAAGGCAAATAAGGTTTTTATTTAAGTGACAACATTTGAGAGCTAAAAACCAGCTCACATCAAAATCAAGACCAGTTGTAAAAATCTTTTAACTCCATAATGCTGTTTTTGTCTTGTTAGAAATCTGATATCTTACATTAGCGTTTCTAACGGATTTTGTACAAGGCAGCCATAAGGAATATAATAAACCTTTTTCACCACAGAACCGTCTGTCACAGATAATACTGAAAATTACACACTTAGGAACAGTCAGACCACAGACAGGGTCAGACTGGCTGCCACCGCCAAGTAAACAAATAGAAAAGGACAGCGGGGTCCGAGGGCGGGGGTCCCTGTGCAGGAGTCACCCTCCTCTGCCCTGCCCCTCCTTGGGTCACCTGCTTCTCCTTTGCCCTAAAGAGGGTGGAGTCAAATTCGGATTTTCCTCCCAACTGCCTGTTAGTTTCTCAACAAGGAGAGCAGAGCCCAGGTCAGGCCTCAGTGCTTGGACTTCACCCTAACTATGATTTTTAAGAAGGTTCCCCCAAGCCCGGAAGGAAAGGAAGGAGGGAATGTTACAATAGGTTTCCAGGGCACTTGGCACCCAAACCCCCCCCAGATGGGATTCGGTGGGAAAGGTGGTTGATTAAGGCGGGGTCAGGGCACCCTCCCGGGGCTGCACCTGGGCTAGGGGGGAGTGTGAGGATGCAGGGGACCCATGTGCCTCATGAAAGACTCCAGGACACAGGAATGGGTCCCAAAGGGGTAAAAATACAGTTTAAAAACCGTGAACTCCAGCCTCATGTCTTCCAGAGAGCCCACCGCCGGAAAACTCTGGAATACCGGGATTCAAACACATTTGTTTGCTGTAACCCAGCACCCAGACAAGAGGACCATTCATCCCAGTGTGTGAAAGGAGTCTGTTTTTTTAAAAAAGAAATAGTTTACGGAGCTCAAGGGAGCCGTTGAACTCTTTTGGAAAAAACCCACGACGCTGGAAGAGCAGGTCCTGGGCTAAGGACACACCCTGAACCCTAACAGGGCAAATGATACAGGAGGGTGGCAGGCAGGCCCTCGGTCACGACAGCCGCCGGATCGGGAAGAACAAACATGCCACGCAAGAAACAAGGAGCTTTGGTCAGGCGGGAAGATCTGTCTCCAGCTGCTGGAGGGCAGGCATACCAGAAGCTAGAAGAACTCTCTAGAAAACAGCTGGACTGGGGGGGTCACAGAACTACTCAAGGAGAGGCAGCGGCACCCGCTCCCGAGAACAACACAACTTGGTTCTTTCTCCAACTTAACTGGACGGACAAAACTGAAGAAACCACTAGTATAGAAAGTGCATATGCATTACACAGTTGCTGTGAAAGCAGTACTGAAACATACGTTGTCTCGCCACTAAACAGAACCGCATCTACACACATTCACACACACCAACGACAGCTCCAGTTGTTGTGTTCACAACCTCTCACTGTACACCATCGGCATCTCATGTGTGCATCGTCAGCCAAAGCCCCGATCTTCCTACCTGCTTGCTGCCTGGACCCAGAGCTGCTTCCAAAACAAAGGGCCAAAACAGGTGGCCATCCTGCTGGGTCCTGTGTCCCAGCTCTGACCCCAGAGCCACAGAATCCTGGTCACACTGACTTCAAATTCCCCAGGGATCCTGGCTCATGTACTCTCTCTCTCTGTCTTCCTCTCTCTTTCTCTGTCTTCCTCTGTCTTCCTTTCTCTTTCTCTCTGTCTTCCTCTCTCTCTCTGCCTTCCTTTCTCTCTTTCTCTCTCTCACTCTTTCTCTCTCCCTCTCTCGCCTAGCCTGGAGTTCTCAGGGAAGAGGGAATCTAACTGGGAGCAAAGTACCTCATACTAATTATTTTATCATTTCAGTTTAATCGGTGCCTTTCTGCAAAAAGGAAATGGTAGAGTTTTCAAGAATCAGACTAAATCTGCCCAAGTTTAAATCAGGATATTTTTGGGAAGGATTAGGGTTGAGGTGGTTATGCCATATGAGCTGGTGCCTTTGGAAAGCCAGGAACTGTGAAATGTTAACGGGGGGATGGGCACCTGTGAACCGCCAGGAGACAGGATCATAGAGGAGGCTGAGGCTGAGGCTGAGGCGGAGCCTGATCCGCACTCCTCCCCACAGACTCGCCAGCAGCCCTGGGCTTGAGTGCAGGATGCGGCACTGGAAGTAGAGCAGAAGAGCTGGCAGACTGAAGACACATTTCTAGGGGAGAGAGCAGGGATGGACGCTAGGAGCCCAGACCCCTCCAGCCCCAGGAGGGCACCCAATTTGCCAGGCAATTCACAATGGTGGTGCCAGCCGCCCCCATCAGCAGCATCATAGGCTGCATGGGAGCCGCGAGAGGTAGACATTGAGCAGAAGCGACACTGAGCTGACACAGGTGCCTGCTGTGTATACACACGTCTGGGCCCTGGGGCAGCCTGGCTGAAATTGCTGGGACCGGCCTCAGTGGCAGCCCATGGGGGCTCAGCAGCCACCTGGGCAGCCCCACACAGCAGGTGTGGGCCTGGGCCAGGGAGTCGGGGTTTTCCAGGATGCAGGAAACCAGTGCCCAGGCCAAGGTTCAGCAGCAGGAGGGCCTGAGCAGGCTTTAGGGGCCCCAGAAGGGCCAAGTCCTGCCAACCTCAGGGGACTACCCAGGAGGAGGTTATGGGCACAAACTGAGCAGCAGGGGACAGGGAAGAGAATACAACAGTTGGAGCCAAATTTCCAGGAACCCCTAGAACCCTGGAATCTCAGCTCTATGCCTCCAGGAGCCAAAAAAGATAGAAGGGTCCTGGCAGAGCTGGGGTTATGGGGAGCCAGATCACTAACCTTTTGGCAGGAGATGGAGGTGGGTTGTCCCTGGGACACCCGGTTTGAGCATCAGTGCAAGGCAAACCAGCTGCGCCTCTCTGTGGAGTAGGGGTCCCTTCCCAGCCCACCCAGAGAGGCTCCTTTAAGAGTCCCTCCTTTCCAGCCCACCCAGAAGCCCTCTCGCAGGCTGTGTGAAAGGTATGGGTCACAGGACACGCAGAGGGACCTAGGCCTGAAAAGCCTCAATGGGCCAAACTGCAGGACATCTCGCGAGTCAAAGACTCACACCAATCTCAGCTAGGGGGACTTCTCCAATAACAGAAGGAAGACGGGGCCCAGAGAGGGCAAGCAACCAGCTCAGGGGCTCACAGCCAGCCCAGCTGAGCCAGAGCCCAAGGCTGCAGCCTCCCAAGGGAGGGCATGAGGCAGGGCTCCGGGAAGAGGAACCCCTGGCCTCCAGGGCCACAGGGAAATGGTGAGGACACTGAGGACAAGGGGGGGGTTGGGGACAATGGACAGCTGCAGGACAGACCGTCAGCACCAGACCCCACCCCCCGAGGGCTGTGGACAGACACCGGGGATGTGCTCTCACTCCCAGAAAGTGGCCATCTTGCTGTAAGAGCGCCAACCCCAAAATGGTGATCCAGGACCACAGGGAGGGCGGGCACAAATGCCACTCACGCCTCCACAAGACAGTCGAGAGGCTGTGCCTGCCAGCGGCGTTTGGTCCCGAGGCTGGGGCTGCCCCCTTGAGGGCCTGCCTAGCTCGCTGTGAAGCCTGGGGACGCAGGAGGGTGGTCGAGTTTGCCCAAACGCTCCAGCTCCGGGCAAGCCTGCCCCCAGGATGACACAAACATGAACCCTGACTTGGGCTTGCAGTCGCAGGCACGTGGGAGGCAGCAGCGGCTGCACCGAGACCCCCGGATCTCACCTTGTGGCAGCTCAGGGAGCCCCCCCGGGGTCGGGCAGGATCCCTCCCCGCTCTGGTCGGACACTGCTGGACAGACACGGGAGGGAAAAAGCAGGAAAACGCCTGTGTCGGGGAGAGGGCAGCCCCCTCCCGTCCCTGCAGGCAGCCTGATTGGGCCCCCCACCCCTGCTCTGAGCACAGCCCACCCCTCAGGGCACCGACTCGAACTTGGGGGGCCCACGTGCCCAGCTGAGCGCGGGCAGCGGCCGCTCGTGGTCCTTGTCGGACTCGGGCTGGCTCTGGGCCCGCTCGGGCTTGGGGTTGACGGCGGGCGGGTCGGGCTGCTGCACCGACATGGTTCTGCGCAGGTGGTTGCGCTTCCGCAGGAACTCCGGCTGTGCGTGCAGCCCGAAGCTGCCCTTGCGCAGGATCATGCGCGAGTTGTTCTTCTTTGGGCGTGAGCGGTGGCTGGCCTCCAGCGCGGCCAGGTGTGCAGCGTAGCCCTCGCTCAGGAACTGCGGAGGGCAGGGCAGGGCAGGGGAAGAGGGGAGGGGAGGGGGAAGAGAAGAAGGGAGGGGGAAGAGGGGAGGGGAGGCGGAAGAGGGAAGGGGAGGGGGAAGAGAAGAAGGGAGGGGGAAGAGGGGAGGGGAGGCGGAAGAGGGGAGGGGGAGGGGAGGGGGAAGAGGGGAAGGGAAAGGAGGGGGAAAGGGGAGGAGAGGGGGAAGAGGGGAGGGGAAGGGGAGGGGGAAGAGGGGAGGGGAGGGGAAAGAGGGGAGGGGAGGGGAAAGAGGGGAGGGGAGGGGAAAGAGGGGAGGGGAGGGGACAGGCGTCAGGTGGAGGGGACCCCGATGCTGATCCTGTCCCCATCATTTCCCAGGAACACTCTATGGAGACACCTCCAGCTTCTCTGAGGAAGCCCAGGGAAGCCGGGAGCTCTTTAGTGTTCCAGAGTCCCCATCCCGCTTTGAACAACCATGCATCTCTACCTGTACCCGTGGGTCACACCAGAGTTCTCTGGATTTTCATTCCTATTTTATTTTAATTAATTTATTAGTTTATTTGTTTGAGACAGGGTCTTACTGTGTCGCCCAGGCTGGAGTTGCAGTAGCCCAGTCTCAGCTCACTGCAGTCTCAACCTCGCCAGCTCAAGCAATCCTCCAGCCTCAGCCTCCCAAGTGACTGGGACCACGGGTACATGCCACCACACCCAGCTCATTTTTTAAATTTTTTGTAGAAACAGCATCTTGCCATGTTGCCAGGGCTGGCCTTGAACCCTGGGCTCAAGCAATCCTGCGTATCAAAGCACCGGGATTACAGGCATGAGCCAGGGCACTTGGCCTATGGGTTCTTGAGGGTGGGGAAGCACCCATCCTTGTCACTTGGCTCACTAGAATTCTGCAAAGTCCCTCCCATCATGCCACCTGCCTCTCCATGCCTCTTGTCACTTTTCTGAGCCCCGCGGCTGCCCTCCTTGCCGGTCCTTTCGGCTGTGCCCAGAACCTTGCTACTCGATATGTGGTCCATGGACTCTGGCAGCATCACCACCACCTGGCCCCTTGTTAGGCAGAGCCTTGGGCCCTCCCCCCGCCCCAGGCCTATGGAATCAGAATATGCATGGCAACAAGATCTCCAGGTGATGCCTGGGCACTTCAGAGTTTGAGAAGCGGGTCCTGAGTTCCCAACTTGGAAACGCCACCATCTCCGGACCCTCTACCCGGGGGTCACTCTTAGGCACTGCGTACTTGACATGCCCCAGAGGGAGGTCACCTCCTTCCCTTCCGCCTGCTGTGCGATTCCAGTAGTGGCACCTCCTACGTGGTCACCCAAGCCACAAACCAAGGCACTGTCCTCTGCCTTCCCTTTCTCTCATCCTGCACATCCATCTGGGCATTACCAAACCCAATCCATCTCCTACCAAAAAATGCCTCTCAGACCCTCCACTTTCTCTTCAGCTCCCTCTCGGCTTTTCTTTCCTTCCTCTGAACCACCTTCCACCGACAGCCCGAGGGAGCTTCCTGAATCACACACCTGCTCATCCACTCTCGCAGAGTCCCCACACAGGCCATCGTGGCTGCACTGACCGTTCCAGCCCCCTCTCTCCCCTCCCAGCTCATGTCCCACGCAGCCAAGCTGAGTCACTGGCAGTCCCAGAATATACATGTTCTTTGTCACCTCCTGACCTTGGCTTTTGCTGCTGCCTCTGCCACAAATGCTCTTCTCAGTCTCAGGCCCTTCCTGGACCATTCCTTCAAATTCCAGAAACCCAACCTTGCCCTGGAGTCTGGGTCCCTCTCCAGGGCCCCGCAATTCCCTGAGCCCCCCATCATACATCATGGCACTTGCTACACTCTACTGTCACCAACTGCACGTGTGCCATCTCCCCACTACACTGAAGTTCATTGCATCCGACTCCACTTGGGATTCTCTCCCCGCACCCAACACAGGCCCTGGCCCGAGGCAGGCACCCCGAAGTGTTTGCTGAATAAATGAATGAGCCAATGTGGGAATGAAGAAATAAATGAATGAAGTGCCCACTCCCTCCATCCCTTTCCCTGACCTCCCTCACAACTCCCCGCCTCCAGCCCCGCCTCCACCCACCTGGCACTGGGTTTGGTACTTCTTGGTGGACCTGCCCACAATGAAGATCTGGGAGGCGGGCAGGCCCAGCACGCTGTAGACAGAGATGTCCTTTGTGGAGCCGTAGGCCGCACTGATTTTGATGAAGCACTGAAACACAGGGCAGGCACGGAGGGAGAGTGAGGCCAGCCTACCTCCTGGAAAGCCTTCCCAGGCCAACCCCAGGGAGCCCCCGCTTGGGGACCCTCTATGGGCAGTCTGGTAGACTCCAAGCCATGGGGCCACCCTGTGTCAGGAATGAACCCCCAGAGTGGCTGCCCCTCCCTGCACCCCAGGCCCATCCCAGGACTCTGCCCGGTAAACAGTCGTGACCACACCATTTACCGGTCCCGCCTGCAGCAGTACGCTCAGGTTAAGTAATGATGAAGCCAAACGTTCCTTTGTGGATAAGGAAATTGAGTTCCAGGTTTCTGGCTCACAGGGCCAAGACTGGAGGCCAGTTCTGCCTGGCTTCTGATCCTGTATCATCCACACCGCTCCACGCTGCAGCTCGCCGTGCGCCCACTGCCTCCCGCTGGCTGGTGTAATGACTGTCCCACCCCCCGCCCCCCCAATCCCCAATTCAATTCAGAGAACTGCACAAGGTCTGCCTTGCTCCAGGGCACTTCCAGACCATCACCGTTCCCTCCTGTCCCTGGGATACACCAGATCAAACTGCCTCCTCCTGTGAGGTGCTGGCCACCCAGCTGCCTCCTGTCCCTGTCATCCTCTTTTTCTCCCACTCACGCTCCTCTGAAGCCACTGGAGACTTTGGTCCTGGGTCACAGCTTTCCTTCCTCCCAATCCCCACCATCGCTAGAATGAGCCACAGTCAGAGTGACGTGAGGGATCTACCACCTCCCACCCCGCCTCGCAGCTTTGCACCTTCTTTCACGTCAGTGGCCGTCACTTCCGGAACCGAACTCAGAACCTGCCCCTCTAACTGTGAACTTCCACAAGTCCGCTGCGCCCAGGGTTTCTGCCCCCTCCCTGCCACGTCTCCGCCAGCCGCCACCTGGCTGCTCTCAGCCTCACCGACACTTGTGCTTTCTGCACCAGCCCTGCTGCCTCACCCCTTCCTCATCCTGCCTGAGTGACCCGCAGCATCCCTGTGTCCTCTGCCTCCACCCCAGATTTTCTCACCTCTTCATCCTCCTCCCACACCCGCCCAGCCCCAAATCTCAGCCCTGGAAATTTTCCACTATCCACCTTGTGTATTTGTATACGCTGCTCACTGAGAGCTGCTAAAGAAACACAGAGCCACACAGCTCTCACCCTCCATCTTCTTCCTGTCCTTCCCTGAGCCCTACTCCGTCCTGCAGGTGGCTGCCTTCGATGCTGGACCAAGGAGAGGGCTTCCTCAGCCCGCTGCCCCTCCCCTCAGTGGTTGGTGTATTCCCAGCTGACTCAGAGGGTGGAGCAGTGCCTCTTCGTCTGGCCCTTCCACCTTCTCATTCACCTGAGATCACTCCTATAACTGGGATCCTCTAGCTCTGGGGACCCTGCCTGGCTGCCTCATGACCCTCCCAGCTGACACCCACCTTCTCTGCTCCTCTCCCTACTACTTTTGCCCCCTTATCCTTCCGAATTGTCTTTTCCTCACAAGGTCATCTGGTGGCCAACCTTTGTCTAGTGGACAGTTCTCAGCATCCCACACCCTTGGCAAGAGGGGCACTAGCTCCTTGAACCCCTCTCCTACCGATAACTGTAGCCTCTGTCTCCTGGCCCTCCTCCCCCTCACTCTCCTCCTGGTTCCTCAGCCGCTCCTTGTGCTGCTCTCAGGGGCCCAGCACAGCCTCTTCTCACGCCTCGCCTCCCTTCTCGTGGCTCCGCTGATCCGTCCTGTGTCCTGTGCGTCTGCTTCCCAGTCTCCACCTGCAGCCCAGACCTACCCTAAGCCATATCAGGTCCCATGGCCGTATCAGCCTTGACATGTCCACAGCTGAGCTCATCTCCCTCCAGCCTGGTCCTCCTCTCGTGTCCCCTCTCATTCACTCACTCATTCATTGATTAATTCTACCAACATTTATTGAGTCCCTACCACGCAGCATCATCACCCCCAATCCAGAAGCTATATTGGTGAGCAGAACAGATAGGCTCTGCCTCCATGGAGACCTTGGTCAGGTGTGTAGCACCTGGATCCCTCCTGGTCACCCAGCACGGACATCTTAGGACTCCTCGCTCTCTGCGTCCAGCCATCCCTGAGTCCTGACTATTCCACCTCCTAATCCTGTCCATGCTTTTCTCTCCATCCCGTGCTCATCATCGCCTGGATTATGGTCTTCCTGTGTTTTGCTTGGGCAACAGCCCCCTAACTGGCCTCCCTGCCTCTGGTTTCTCCTGCCAGTCTGTTCTCCACACAGCCACCAATGGGATCTTTGTACACGCCAAGTTAGACAGGACCACTTCCCTGCTTTAAACTGTTCTGTGGCTCTCCATGACCCTCAGCAGAGAATTTGTGATCTTGGCCTGGTTTCCAACGTTTTCAAGATCTGCCAAGTTTGGGCCCCTGATGACCTCTGAGGGCTCAGCTCCCACTTGCCCTGGGTCTAACCCTGCCTGCACTTACCCCAAGCCTGGATGCCCGCAGCTCTGAGAACGTCCCAAGCTCTCTCCTGCCTCCATGCCTTTGCACATGCCATTTCGCTGTCTACCTGACAAACTCATGCTTCAAGACTCAGCTCAAAAGTTACCACCCTCCTAGCAGCCTTCCCTGCCCTCCCTGGACAAACTGAAGTCCTTTCTCCTCTGTTTGCTAAAAGGGCCTTTTTCAACCACACACCAGTAGTTATCAATTGACATGTCCTTCCTCCTCTAGATCAGGGATTTGCAGACTTTTTCTTTGAAAGACCAGATAGTAACAATCTCAGGCTTCGCACTGTGTCACCACTACTCAATTCTGCTGTGGTACTGCAAAAGCAGTCATAGACAATACGTACACAGATGAGCTTGGCTGTGTTCCAATCAAACGTTTTTTATTTAGAGACATTGAAATTCATGTAATTTTCATGTCATGAAATATCATTCCTTTGATTATTCTCTCCATCCATTTGAAAGTATAAAAACCATCCTTAGCTGACCAGTCACAACAAAACAGGCTGTGGGCTGGATTTGGTCATTATATATCAACGCCTGCTCTGCTCTAGGTCAGGGATTCTTGATTTATTTTTCTGTGCATCAGAATCCCCTGGAGGGCTTGTGAAAAGGTTCCTGAGCCCCTCCCCAGAGTTTCTGATTGAGTAGGTCTAAGAGGGTAGGGGGCGAGGCGGGGCAGAGAATTTGCACTTCTCCTGAGTTCCCTGGTGCTGCTAGTGGGAACCACAGCTTTGGTCACGGAAAGCACATCTGGGTCACAGAAAGCACATCCGGGTCATGGAAAGCATATCTGGGTCACGGAAAGCACATCCTCTGCCCCCCTGGTTCTGTTTGTCTCTGTGCAGCCCCAACAAGCACAGAGTAAGGAACACAATCGCCATTTAAATGTCTACTGGATGAATGGCCAGATGTAGAGACAAGAGTCAGGAGATAAAGGACGAAAGTCTGACTCAGATCTAGGGCAAGTCGCTGCAGCCTCACCTTTCTCCTCTGTCAATGACGAGACTAATAACCTACCTCACAGGGCTGCTAGAGGACCCACCAGATCCACGGGAATGGGATTTGTAGACTGCACATCATGAGGCCCCACCCCGGGGGAGGGAGGCAGGGAGTGGTGAAGAGGAGGGTTGGGCTCTCAAGTTGTGGAGGCCCCGCCCCTGCCCCGAGCTGGCCACTCACCTCCTGCATGAGGTTGCGCAGGAAGATGGCCTTCTGCCGCAGCGGGTCGTGCACCAGCCCGTCCGAGAAGAAGATCATGCCCTGTGGGAAGTTGTGCTGGGACAGCCATGACACCACCCGCTGCTTCTGCATGTCCGGCCGCCCCGTGATGTAAAGGATCATGTAGCCCAGGTCCTGCCAGTGCCTGGCGAGATGGCATTAGAAGGGTCCAGCCCTGCCCAGTGCAGGCCACCCGATGCCCAGAAGCCTGCCCTGACCATAGCTGCCCTCCTGAGACGTCAGAGGGACGAATCTGAGGCGTGCTAGGGAGAACAAGGGGGATCCCGAATCCCCTCTCCCGGTTGAGCCCTGGACATCTCCCCGGATGGCCTCCAGGTGCTGCAGGCCCACATCCAAACTCATCTCCTCACCCCTGACCCCACTGCTCACAGCCGCTTCAGAGCCAGAGACAGGCGCCTTTCATTCCCCCCTGTTCCCTGTGCCTCCCTCCCTCCTCCTCCAGGAAGAAAGCCTTTCCGTTTCACCAGGCCAGACTCTTTACACCCCCATCCCCCAGCCCTCTCACTTAAGCCCTGCTTCTCATCCTTAGCCTGGGCCCCATCTCTCTCCTGGGCCATTACAAAAGCCTCCTGGCGGCCTCTTTCCCTGCACCCCCGCTCCTACCCATATCTAACCTGAGCCCTGTAACCCTGGGCAGATTACTCAACCCTGCCCAACCTCCCAGGGTTTCAGTTGCCCCCTCTGTAAAACGGGCATAATAATATGAACTACCCCATAAGGTTGTCCTAAAGATGAAAGGAATTAATCCCAAACATGCGTAGCAAGGTGGTGTGCTTGGTGTGGCTGGCTTTATTATTATCCTCCACAGTGTTTCCATGGTGATTTCTGTACATCACAAATCGAACCCCAGCACTCCTTTGCCGAACAGCATCTCCAGCTCCCCAGCACCCTGAGGTAGAGCCTCAAGGCCTCTGTCTGCCTCTGTGGCCATGCCCCTGCTCTGCCCTTGCATATGGCATCCCCCCCGCCCACCCAGAGCTGCTTTGCGGCCGCCGGACAAGCCCTGGGCTTTTCTGCTACATAGCTCTCCCCTAGACAGCCCTCAGGGCTCCATCTCCTGATATTCACATCTTCCATCTTTCAAGACCCCCCCTTCCTCCAGGAAGCCTTCCCTGCTTCCCAGGCAGATCAGCCCTTTCCTCTGTGCTCTCACAGCACTGTGAGATAACTCTCTTGGCTGACTTCACGCAGAATCCTGGCTGCAAGATGTCAGATAAGCCCAGACCTGGTTGGGCACCTATATGGCACCTGCCACCAGAACAGGCTAACAGAGATGGGGAGTTCTAAACCTGGGTGATGGTCTGAGGGATCTGGGGATGCTTTACGCTAATGCAGGAGTACAGGGGTCACCTCAGGGATTCTGGTTAGTTCTGACGTGGGGCCCAGTGATATGTTTACGAAAAGGGGAGTTCCTGACGACTGTCGAGGTTTGGTCAGCACCATGGTGGCCCCTGGAGCCCGTGGAAGGCAGTGGGAGGACCATGGACCCCCAGAGAGGAAGGACCACAGCCTCCCCTTTCCTGCAGTGGGAGGGGGACCGTGATGCTGGAGGGATTTGTTGTAAGGGCAACAAACGACCTAGCCCTACAAGGGGAAGGTTGGCCCCCTGAAACGGGCTTGAGTCTGACTAGGCCTGTTCCTACGGAGCTGCTGGGCATCTTGAGGGCAGCAGTCTCCCGGGAGCCCAGGAGCCAGGCCCATCTTCTCTCCCCAAAGCCATCACTGTTACTGGGGTGAGGCAGGGCAGTCTCCAGCCCCCAAGAACTTCCAGTGCCTGGCATCTGTCCTACTCTTGAGGTTCTGATCACTTGGAGTCCTGGGTTACACTTTCTCATGCCTGTGACTTATTTTCCCCACCAGACTCTGAGTTTCCTCCAACTTAAGAGCTCACTCTGCATCAGTGCCCAGCACACAGCCTGGCCACAGTGGGCCTCAGAAAGGGACGGATGCGTGCATGAGTGGAGGGAGGGAGGCAGGGAGAGAAGGAAGGAGGGAGAGAGAGAGGGAGGGAGGGAAGAAGGAAAAAAGGAAGGAATTGGGAGGGGGAAGAAGGAAGTGAGGGAGGGAGAGAGGAAGAAACAGACAAGCTGAGGTCTAGAAAGCAGGAGAAATTTTCCCAAGGACACTCAATAAATTACTATTGGAGGTAAAGCCAGGGCTTCCCAGCTCGCAGCCCCAGAGACCAGTAGAATTCCTGGAGCAAATCAGAAAAACAACATATTTCCCCAGGGCTGCTGGCTCCTGCCCCCTAGGGAGACATATCCCTCGTGGAAGGTGGCACTCACCGGACAACGTCCACTGCACCCGGCCGGACCTTGGGGTCGCTTCCCATGATAGACACGCTGGCCGCAAAGGACCCGTCAATGCTGAACACGACACACTCCATGCCCCGGGGCAACACCGTGAGGTAGCTCATGGCACAGGTCTGGTCGCCCCTGAAAGAAGCCTGCCTGTGGTCAGCCGTGAGGGCAGGGTCAGACGTTAGCCGGAAGCCAGAGGTCAGCCTGTAGCTGCAGTCAGAGCTCAGTCTGGGTCAAGGTCAGAGAGCACCTGGGTGGCATCTCCTGATGCCACAGCTGGTGACCTCTCCCATCCACTTCTGTCCATGCAGACAGAGATGGGGGCCCAAAAAGAACCCCAAGGGGCCGGGCGCGGTGGCTCACGCCGGTAATCCCAGCACTTTGGGAGGCCGAGGCGGGCGGATCACAAGGTCAGGAGATCGAGACTACGGTGAAACCCCGTCTCTACTAAAAATACAAAAAATTAGCCGGGCGCGGTGGCCGGCGCTTGTAGTCCCAGCTACTCAGGAGGCTGAGGCAGGAGAATGCGGGAACCCGGGAGGCGGAGCTTGCAGTGAGCTGAGATCGTGCCACTGCACTCCAGCCCGGGTGACAGAGCTAGACTCCGTCTCAAAAAAAAAAGAACCCCAAGGACCCTAAATTCTAGACAGGCCTGGCTGGAAGGGCCATGGAAATGAGAGAAACCCCCCTGAGAATGGCCCCTGGGTCTTACCTGACGACCATCTTCACAGGATAGACACCGACCCCCAGGCGCCGGGGCCGTGGCACGTTGTATGTGATTCGACCGCTACTGTTCGTGATCTCTGTGTCCAGGTGTACCCAGCGGCCTGAGGACGGCTCTGCCATTACCAGGATGTCCACCTGTGGCAGTGAAGGGGGTCAGGGGATTCCCTGAAGGCTGAGGGGCTACAGGCTTGGCAGAGGGGCTGGGCAGGGGAAATCTGGGCTGAGGTCCCTGCCTGACATTCCCTGGCTCCTGCCACCCTGGCTCCTCATTCATCCTTGGATACTCTGAGCCCATCCTTTCCTCCTTGCTCGCCCTTCCCGGCCCACCCAAGCAGGTGAGTGACTCCTGGCCCTGTGCTTCCACCCCAGGTAGCTCGGCCCTCCTGATACCCTCACCCCACATGCCATGTGGCTCCACGAGGCACCTGGTGCAGGTGGACTGGCTGAGGAGGGGAGGCCCAGCCCTGGGTACCTTCTCTCCAGTCAGAGCCACCATGTCGAGGGGACCGTACATGAACCGCCCCACCAGGACCTGGGGGCCATCTTCAGCAGCAATCACATCGTTGGCCCGGTGATTAGCCGTGACATTCTGGAAGGACAGAAAGAAGCTGGCTCAGTCCTTGCAAGGGAGGCTCAACCTTGCTTTATCATTGCAGTGTGCCTCAGACTGGCTGCAGGCATATCAGCCTGCTGAATCATGTCTCCCTACTAACTTCTGCTAGAGTTTCAGAGATGTGTTCCCAGGGAACGTGGGAGAAAAACAGACCGTGAGTCCCCCAAACGCTGTCTGACATGAGTCCTCCAAAGGCGCCCAGGGCTTCCTGCCATTGTACGTTCTCTGCTTTTGTTTTTTTGTTTGTTTGTTTTGTTTTGTTTTGTGTGTTTTGTGTTTTTGAGATGGAGTTTTGCTCTTGTTGCCCAGGCTGGAGTGCCATGGCGCGATCTCGGCTCACCGCAACCTCCGCCTCCCGGATTCAAGCAATTCTCCTGCCTCAGCCTCCCGAGTAGCTGAGATTACAGGCGTGTGCCTCCACGCCTGACTAATTTCATATTTTTAATAGAGACAGGGTTTCTCCATGTTGATCAGGCTGGTCTCGAACTCCTGACCTCAGGTGATCTGCCTGCCTCGGCCTCCCACAGTGCTGAGACTATAGGTGTGAGCCACCGCGCCCGGCCTGTTCTCTGCTTTTGACTCTGCTTGGCCCTGAGGGGACAACTGGCCTCACAGCCTGTCCTTCTCTTCTAGATCCCTGAGCTGGAAACTGCCTTTCTTTGGTTCTTTCTTCTACATCACGGCGCACATCCAACGGATATTTACTCTCTGTCTTTTGTTTTTTTCTTTTTTAAGATAAAATTTCAAATGCACAAGCGTAGAGAGAGAGAAAAGAGTGTAACAAAGCCTCGTATTCCCGGCACCTGCTCCACCACTTAGCAATGAACTCATGGCCATCCTGGTTTCATTCTTCCCTTGCCCAATTCCCCAGCCTTGGCCCCAGCCTCGCCGGGATTATCCTGGAGCAATCCTGGATGCTACATCATTTTAACTGTGACTGTCTCAACCTCCCTAATCTTCTTCACTTCTGGTTTCAGTTCATTCTGCAGCCTGTGTTGGCCCCGACCAGCCCCCACTCCCAGCCTGGCCTCCAAGACCCTAGTCTCTCAATCTAGTGACCATTCCTTTACTGTGTTGGCCACATTGTCGTCTCTCCCACAACGACATCGCCTGGATGCTGCTAACAGCTTCCTAATGGAGCTCCTTACTCAAAGGCAGTCCCTGCAACAGATCCTCTGTCTTTATAAAGCACAGATCCATTAACACCCTCCCAGGCTCCCCAGTGCCCTCTGGGTAGAGTCCAGATCCTGAGCTTAGCTTTCCAAGCCTTGCCTGAATGACCTCTTCAGTCTGTCTCCTGCTGCTCCCCATCCACACCTTCTGGTCCTTTCTGCCAGGCTCTGCAGCAGCCTCCAGACCTTTGCTCACACCGCCGCCCCGCCCCCCACACTGGCTCTAGGTGCCATCCCTGGCCCTCTTCCCCCACATTCCAGCCCATTCGCTATGACAAGACTCAGCGTCATCATCGCCAAGAAACACTCCTCGGACTCCTCAAAGACATGTTCTCAACCTCCTTTCGATTCCCACGCATTTTAATTCAATCCAACAAATATCTGCAGACACCTCATCTGCACAGGGTCCCTGAGATAAACTGGAGACACTCAGCCAGGTAGGGGACGCAGGCCCCCTTACGGGTGCACTGTCAGGGGAGAGGGAGCAGCTGGTTCATGAATATAAGCACCTGAAAAGATCCAGCATCACTAGTCATTAGGGAAATGTAATCAAAACCACAATGAAATACCCCGTCACACCCACCAGAATGACTAGAATCAAACAGGCAGATAATAACAGGGGTTGCTGAAGATGCAGAGAAATCAGAATCCTCATATATTGCCAGTGGGAATGTGAAATGGTACAGTGACTGTGGAAAACAGTCTGGCAGTTCCCTATACGATTAAACATAGTTACCATTTGATCCAGAAATTGCACTTCTAGGCATATACGCGAGAGAAATGAAAACATAGGAGAGATGAAAGACACAAAAACTTATACACGGACGTTCCTAGCAGCATTATTCATAGCAGCCAAAAGGTGAAAACACCAGCGTGGCCAACATGGCGAAACCCCATCTATACTAAAAATACAAAACATAACAAATAAAAATTAGCCGGACATGGTGGTGAACACCTGTAATCCCAGCTACTCAGGAGGCTGAGGCAGAAGAATCACTTGAACCCGGGAGGGGAGGTTACAGTAAGTTGAGATTGCACCATTGCACTCCAGCCTGGGCAACAGAGCAAGACTCCGTCTCAAAAAAAAAAACAAAAACAAAAGCAAACAAACAAACAAACAAAAAACAAACAGGTGAAAACAACCCAAATGTCCATCAGGCAGTGAATGGATAAGCAAAACACAGCATCTCCATACAACGGGATATTATTCAGCCTCAGAAAGGAATTTCTGACACAGCGACCGCGTGGATGAACCTCGAAGACAGTGTGCTACGTGAAACAGTCAGACACAAATGGTCACATATGACATCATTTCGTTGAAATGAAATGTCCAGAATAGGCAACTCTGCAGGCACAGAAAGTCAGTTACTGAGTGCCTGGGGCAAGTGAGGGAGTGTCAGCTAAAGGGTACAGAGCTGCTTTTTGGAGGTTATGAAAAAGCTCTAAAACTGACCATGGTAATTGTTGCACACATCTGTGACTATACTAAAATCCACTGAATTGTAGTATCTAAATGGGTAAATTATAGGATATGTGGATTTTATCTCAATAAATATGTTTACCGAAAAAGAGTTGGTTCATGAAGGATTGATCTCCTTCTACCTTTTAGGACTGTTCTTGGGGTCCATGTCTGGCCTTTTCGCCAGACTGGAGGTACCTACCATAGCAATGGTTGTGTCTGTACAACTCTATGCTCCACTCTCTACCAGAATGACTGAGACAGAGTAGGCGCTGATGATCGTTTGCTGAGTGAATAAATAAACGTATATACCTCAAACTCCTATTCATCCTTCAGTACCCCACAGAGGAGCCTCTTCAGAGAATCCCTGAATGATTTGCCCTGACAATCCTTCTTTCCATAATTGTCTTAATCTGTGCCTTCCTCTATCAAATATCACACCAGGCCATACTCAATGGTAACTGAGACTGAGATCCAGGACTCTTTCTGATTCAAGTCCACATCTACTGTAGCCTGGCATATAGCAATTGCCCCATAACTGGTATCTCCTCACCAACCCTAGTATCTTGGACCCCTGCCCTCAGGGCTCCTGTGGAACCAGGCCTTGGGGAAGCAACTCATGCCCCTTGCAGCTGCAGCGCCTGGGCCTCATCTGAGTGTGAGCCCTGGCCTGTCTGGGTGCTGAGCTCCCAAGCCGAAGTGCTTACCTGCCATGCGGACGCCCCAACCCCCAGGCCAGCCCCACCTCCCAGAGGACGCAGTCCCAGCCGCATGCAAACTGAGCACGCACGCACCCTCAGCTTGACCTGAGTCCGCTTACGAAGCCACTTCTCCCGAGGGTTGGCGGGGCTCAGCGCTGCGGGGTCCAGGCGGGCGCTCTCCTTGATGTTCACGCTCTCGTAGCGCATCACCTGGCCAAGAGCCGAGCAAGGCCCCGGTCAGGTCTTCTGGCTCCTCTGCTTCCCTCCCAGGGTGTCAGCGCCCACCACCTTGTGGCCAGCTGAGCCCTGCCCCTGCCACCCCCCAACCTCACAGCCTGGAACCATCAGGAGGCTGCAGACCCCAGCACCTGTGTCTCTGCATTCGTGTCCTGACAGCTGGGGCCAGAGCAGTCTCCCAGTTGGCTCTCTTCCTGAGAGAAATCTCTGCCCCGCTGTGCCCAAACCTGGCAGCCACCTCTATCTGTCCCCACTCTCTGCCCTCCCTCTGTTATAACAGGTGGCCCTTCCTTAAGGCCGGCTTGAGTCCTGATCCCAGCCCCTCCTCCCTTCTTGAGGACATTGCTCCAGCCATGCTCCCCTGTCAATCCCGCAGCGCTGATTAGACTCCCTCTGCTAGATCACTCTCCTTAGCATTCAAATACGCACAATATTGCCCATCTTAAAAAAATGCTCTCTTGGACTCCTCATGCCTCTCCAGTGACCGCCATGTCCCTGCTGTCCTTCACAGCAGCACTCACAGAGGACTTAGCCCATACACTGTCAGCTCCTTCCTCACCTGATCCCTCCTCCACCCACTCCAGTCAGGCTTCTTCTCAATCATTATACGGAAGCCATTCTTGCCAAGGCCCCAGTGACTCCCACCCCACCTATCTCCGGGGTCCTCTCCCTGCACTCTCTGGGTGCTCCAACCTCACGGATGTCCTCTTCTCTCCTTCAGTGGCTTCTCCTCCTCTTCCCGGGGGAGCTCCAGGACTCATCTCTGAACTGCCCTCTCTGTAGGAGCTCCCTTGGTCTGGCACCCATCACCAGTTTTAAATGCCATCCAAGCTCTGATGACACCCACATTTTTCTCTGGAATCCTGATGTCTTCTCTAAGTTCCAGACTCCTCTACTCCCTTCCATCCCAGCACCTCAGAGGCATCTCACACTTCACATATGCAGACCAGTGGTGGATGTGCCACGTGGGGGCACAGGTTTGCGCTGGAGCACCCTGGCCTGGGTGCCACCGGCGGGGGACCCACTTCCAGCCTAGCACACTCTCTCCCACCCCCAAGAACCTACAAACAAAACTCACTTTCCTCCGCCCCCTGCCCAGCCCTGCTCTTCCCCAAGTACAGGAAATGGCACCACCTTAGTCATTCAAGTGAGAAACAGGACGTTCTGGGTCCCCTCTTTCTCCTACAATGCGGTCATCTGCAAGTGCTCGCACCGTAACGCAAATCTTGCCACTCTGTGGAAATCTTGCCTTCACTCCCTGTCCTAGTCCAAGCCTCCTGTCTAAGCTGGACCCCCGCACTGGCCTCACAACAGGCCTCATGGTTCCTCTCCTGCCCTGAAAACAGCAACCTCAGCCTCAGGGTTTCCTTCAAAAAACACAAGCCTGTTGCTACTTTTCCCTTGCTCACAGCCCTGTAATGGCTTCCCATTGAACTCAATATAAAACCATACCCCCAACCTTGGCCATCGCAGCTGTTCATGAACGTCATGACCCCTACCAGCTCCCCAGACTCCCTCCCGACCAGGCTGTCCTCTGGGCACCGGCCTTTCTGCTATACCTTCTGTTCTGCAGATGAGACCACTGAGACCCAGTGGGGAGTGGGAACTGACTACTCCAGTCTCCAAGTTGAAACACTGGGACATTCTCCTATGTAGTTTATATTTAATTTTCGAGAATGTACCATACCATCAGTCACCCAGGAGCCAATGTCTTTATGAAGCCCATTCTCTGGTCATGTCACTCCCCACTCACGTAGGTGCTCCAATGCCTTCCCCATGCTCTTAGGATCAAGGCCAAAAGCTGAACAGGGTCTGCAGGAACAGCTTCCTCTCCAGCTGGAGAAGGGCGGTACCCCCTCGCGGTGGCTGTGGGCAGGCCCACGACTGCGCAGTGGTACCTGTCTCAGGATGAAGGCCACCACGTCCGTGGACTCCCAGTAGCTGGCGTGGAAGAGGTGGGGCAGGGCCACGGTGGGGAAGGCCGTGAGGACATCAGGGCAGTACAGGGCGTAGTCGATCCTCTTGCTTCCCCACCACTTGGCTGTGACTGTGGGTCGGAGAGGAAGGTGAGGGTGTGTGGCCAGCCCAGGGCCTCCCTCGAGGGGCAGTGGGGTCTCCCATTGCCCAGACCAGTGGTGGATGTGTCGCGTGGGGCACAGGTTTGGGCTGGCGCACCCTGGCCTGAAGGAGGCCTGGGGAATGCGCTGCTCTTCCTCTTTCCTTCTCAAAACCCACCCGCCCTCCGCTAAGATGTACCCACCAAGCCTGTGCCCAGGAAGGAGGGCCAGACCCACAGAGACGTCCACAGTCTCACCCAGGGCTGCCGCTCAGTGGCAGTTGCCAGTGGGCTCTGCCTGAAGTCGGGGTGGAGACTATGTCTGGAGGTTCAGGACTTCCTTAATGGTCAGAGGTCAGAGCCCTGCCCAGGTTCAGAGGTCAGGGCTCTGTTTGAGGTCAAAGCTCAGACCCCGTCAGGAATCAGGGGTCACTGCTCTCTTCAAGGTCAGAGCTCTGATTTGAGGCAGGGTCAGCGTTCAGGGCTCTGTCCAGGGTCAGAGGTCAAGGTTCCTCCAAGGTCAGAGCTCAGTCTGGGGCCAGAGTGAGGATGTGGACCGATGCTGGATCTCCACCAGCAGACGCCCGGCTCTCTAAAGGCAGAAGCTGCCCCCAGGACTTCCTTCACCCTCTCCCCACCCAAGGACCTACCCTCAGCAGCTCTAGCAGTGACCCAGCAACCACCTAGAGGAAGGCTCCCCTCCCCCGAGTCCAGGCAGGGCCCCAAAAGGACCTCACTCACTGCGGGAGGCCCCCATGGGCGCCATGCTGTCCGAGGACTCCGAGCTTTCGCTGTGGGAACTTCCCTCGCTCATCCTCCGTCCTGGGCGCCGGAACCTCAAGGCCTGGCGGGGCGAGGCAGGGGCATCCGGAAGTGGCGGGCTGTCCCGGGAGCCGCCCTCCAGGAAGAGGGGGCTGTGCGTGTGTAGGGCATCAGCTGGAGGGGGAGTTTCAAGGTCAGGCTGAGTCACGTGTCTCCAGCAGAGCTGCCCACTCAGTGCCAGCCCTGTGCTAGGTGGGAGGCTGGGCACTTGGAAGAGCCAGCCCTGGCCCTGCTCACTTGCCAGCCCAGCAGGCACCTGCCCTTCTCACTGTGCCCACCCCACCAGCCCCCTGAGCCTGAAGGGACCCCGTTGCCACAGCACATCGCCGCATTTACCTCCCTGCAGCTGTGAGTTACGCAGAGTCCCAGCCATCACCTCTGCCCCCAATAAAGCTGCAGAGGGAGCGTCTGGGACATTGCCCCAAAAGCACCAGCTGAGGTCCCAGAAGTGACTCACAGCCATGTCCTCTCTTACCCAACTCCTCCCCTGCGCCACAACGGATGGAGGCTGCCTCTGGAAGGGAATGGGGACTCCTGCCGGAGAGCTAGGATAGCCTCAGGGGAGGGAGGGGAGCCCCCTGACCAAAGAGGGACCCGTGGGGGAGGGGGTTTCCAGCCTAGCCAACCTAGTGAAGCTCCAGGAAGGCAGGGATTTGGAAACAAAGGCTCCATTGAATTAGGGGTGAGGAAGGCATGGTTTTTAATCCTGAATCAGCCCCAAGCACAGCTCCCCCATCCCTGACATAAACCTCTGAGCAGGCTTAGGCTAAACGTCCTCAAGTAGGGCGTGGAGCCAAGGCTCTGATTTCTAAGCTGCTGACTGTCCATTACAGGCCTCCCATCGATGACACGCTCGATCCATGCCCGGGTCACCCCACTTGACCCTGGAGGCCACTGGCTCTTCGCCAAACCACCTGCCCTCACTCCTTCTGTTCTCCCCACCTAGAAGATCTCAGCCCTCATCCTCTAGCTCTTCCCCACCTGTCCAAATGCACCTCCCCTGTCTGGACCCTAATCAAAGGCCACCTCTTCCATCAAGCCCACCAGGACGGCACACTTTCTGCCCTACCCCTCCAGAGTCCAGGCTGGGCACTCACAAATAGCTTGGAGCACGGATCCCTGGACCTGCCATCAGGTCTGAAAGCTCAAGTGTTACACCAGCCCTGGCCACAGGAGTGCATCCGGGAGCCTGTTGGGGGACAGAGCCTGGGTCTCTGAGCCCCAATATGCCTCAGATGGAGCAGGTGCTTAGCACAGGTGGGCGACTCTGAAGACAGGGGAGTCAGCTAACCTTCTGTTCTCACAGCCCCTGCTCAGGTGAGCTCGCTGAGAGCTTGGAGGGGGCTGAACGGGCTGGGGCCCCACCTCCAGCTCAGCACACTCTCTCCCACCCCCAAGAACCTACCGAGGAGGAGGGACTGCCCATCGCCCAGTGGGAACCTCTGGTAGCGAGGCACGCTGACAGGCGGCACCAGGTGGAACTTAGGCTCCAGCAGTGGCTCAAGCCGTGAGGCAGAGGGGTCTGCGCAATGGAAGAAGCTGTAGACCTGGCTGCAGGCAGGACGCACCTGGAAGCCTGGGGTGAGTGGGAAGACAGAGGGAAGCCCCTTTCTAATACCTGCTCCCTGGGCCCTAGGAGGCTCACTGGAGTGTAGCCTGGAGTAGCCTCCTCCCCTCTCAAGAGCCTCCCCGGGCTCCCTGCTCCCCACGGGAACAAAGCCGTTACGTTCAGTTTGTCTCCCCACCCAGGAGTGCAGTGATAGGCACTCAGCACTGCAGCCGTGGTGCACAGCTGCCCTTCCTCAATCAGGCTTGCAGCTTTCCTTTCTCTGTGCCTTTGCTCAAACCATCCCTTCTCCTTGCGGGCCTTCCCTCCACCATTTCCATGGGGCAACTCCTTTAGATTCTTCCGGTTTTCACTCAGTTACCACCTGACCTAGGAAGCCAACCCAGGTTCCTTCAGGCAGGTCAGCTGCCCCTTCCGCAGGCCTCACAGCTGTAAACACTCCATTCCCAGGCCTGCTGCTGCGGAGTTCCAGGTTTGCCAGAGTTGGTGGAACACGTCTCTCGCTGACCAGCAGGTGTCTCCACTGAGGCCTCCACCTCATCGGCGGGCCTCCCTGTCCTTCTAGAACAGGGACTGGACCCTTTAGCATCCCGGAAGCCCTAGGGTTCACTAGTGACATTGAGGGCAACCATGGAGTTCTGCCTCCGCGCCTCCATTTCTACCAGAACCCTTCCCACTTTATCTGTTCCATATCGTAGTTCAGCAGTAAACTCTGGCCAAAAGCATGGATCTGTGGATACCCAAGGTGCCCTGCAGCCTCCGACGGTCTGTGCTTCAGTCCTTAAGAGTCACGGCTACCCTCCCCACCCCCATGCCCGCTGGTGCCAATCACCTGGTGTGTACATTTTTAGAGGAGCAGGAAAAGGCATTCAAGGTTGCAGGTATTAGCTTAGCCGGGCGCGGTGGCTCACGCCTGTAATCCCAGCAATTTGGGAGGCCGAGGCGGGCGGATCTCTTGAGGTCAGGAGTTCGAGACCAGCCTGGCCAACATGGTGAAACTCCATCTCTACCAAAAATACAAAAATTAGCCAGGCGTCATGGTGGGCGCCTGTAATCCCAGCTACTAAGGAGGCTGAGGCAGGAAAATTGCTTTAACCCAGGAGGCAGAGGTTGCAGTGAGCTGAGATCGCGCCACTGCACTCCAGCCTGGGCGATAGAGTGAGACTCCGTCTCAAAAAAAAAAAAAAAAAAAGTTGCAGGTATTGTGTAGAGCAAAGGCACTTGCGGTGGTCCTGGGGCTATGCGGGGGTGGGTGGTGAGACCAGCCTGGCAGTCGTGTCTGTCTCAGTACAGGAGAAGGAGAGGGTGGGAGGCAAGAGGGTGAATATTCTGTCTTCTCTTCCCCATAGGGTATGACCACCGGACAATGGGGCCACAAAAAGCCAGGGGCACTTGATATGGAGAGTGAAATCCATCTGAAGCTGCCTCACCTTCGTCCTGTGGTCCTGTGGCGGGAGGGAATCGGCTCCTCTCTCCCTCCACCCTCTCTCCTCTCTTTCCACCTATCCCAACTCTGTGACCCTCCTGTCCCCATCCCCGACTCCACTCCCCTCATTCCGAGGCCCTGACACGGTGGCCCTAGTGACACACGGGCACCTCAGGCCCCCACCCACACCATCCCTACCGTCCAGCCCAGGCAGCACCGTCCTCCGCATGGCCAGGACCAGGCCCAGTGGCGAGCCAAAGAGGAAGAAGTCGGACACATCGAAGTCAAAGCGGCCCAGGCTGACCTCGGGGAGCTGTGGCCCTGCCGCCGCCGCCGGGGTCTCAGACTCATCCTTTAGCACGCTGGAGTGGATGCTGTGGAGGGAGGAGGATGCAGGGCAGGGCAGGTCAGGGAAGGACCGAGAATGCGGGAGTGTTCACTCAGCAGCACAGCCTGAATTCTGAGCACAGAGTGCCCAACCCTCCATCTCTGGGACGGGGCTGAGAGTCCACCTACTACTGCACACCACCTACAGTCAGCACTGGCCACCAAGGCCTGGCTGATATTTGACTAGAAAAGGAATCAACAAACTTTTTCTGCAAAGGGCCAGAGTCAGTATTTCAGACTTCGTGAACTGTGTGGTCTCCATTGCATCTAGTTAACTCTGCCGTTGCAGCACGAACGCGCCCATGGACAGTGATTAAATATGCATGGCTTGGATCCAATAAAATGTTACTTACAGAAACAGGATGAGCACCTGGGGCGCCCGAGCATCCTACACACCGGCAGGCCTGCCTCATCACGCTGGCTTTGTGATGGCCACGCTGAGGATTCCTGCACTGTGTATCAGACAAGCCCAGCCTGCCCAGCACCCAGCTGGCTAACGTCAGTTCTGTTCTGCTGGCATCAGGGCTTTCATCCTAACTCCCGTTCCAGGCAACCCGCAGACACAGATGCAAACAGCTTGGTCTCCCCACCCCCAGCCCCAGCCCACAGATGAAGTAGAGCTTAAGGAGAAAAATGTGAGACACACAGAATTCCAACCATTTCCAACCCAGGTGCCCACTGCCGCGGGAAGAATCCGAGTTACGTTCAGCCACAGACCCAGAGTAGGGCGCTGAGAATCAGAAGGAAACCTGGGCACCTTCCTTACCTTCCAGCCAGCATTAGCTACAGCTTAAAGTGAATCGATTAACTGAATGCAAAGCAACTAAACTACTTGAGTTAGAGGAGAACAAACTTTAGAAAGAGCCATTGAAATCGTGGGGACAAGGGCCCTACCCTTGGGAGTGAGCGAGTCGGCAAAGTTGAATCCTCAGTCCCCACACTCCCTCCTGCCTCTCGCAGTGTGAGCATCTCACAGTGAGACGATGACTCTGATGTTTAACAATACATATTTCATGTACAGCGTGGTCCCTAAACACACGCCAACTACTTAATTGCCAGAGAAACCACTATCTGTCCCTGCACCAGAGGGGAAAGCTGGCTGTGTCAGACCAGCTCCTGGAAGCCTCCAACTTCTCGTCACTCTCCCAATTTGGGGCTCTCCTAAAGGATTTTTCAAGGATGAACCAGGAATGTTGAGATTTTTTTTCACCTTGCAAGCCTCACTAGAAGGTAGCTGCTTTTCTGAAGGATCATCTGTCAGCAAGGCTTTAAACATTCAGAGATTTCAATGGGCAGAGCCTTTGACCTAGTAACTCTTCCTCCAGGAGTCCATCCAAATATAATCACCCTAATATACACGCTAATGTTTATGCACAAAAATGTTCACTGTAGGGCTATTTATACTGCTAAGGAATTGGAAATAGCCAAAATGCCTAATTATAGGGATTAAGTAAACTGATCTCCATTCACTCGATATTATATTGCCATTAAGAATATTTATCAAAGGCCGGGCGCGGTGGTTCAAGCCTGTAATCCCAGCACTTTGGGAGGCCGAGACGGGCGGATCACGAGGTCAGGAGATGGAGACCATCCTGGCTAACACGGTGAAACCCCGTCTCTACTAAGAAATACAAAAAACTAGCCGGGCGAGGTGGCAGGCGCCTGTAGTCCCAGCTAATTGGGAGGCTGAGGCCGGAGAATGGCGTGAACTCGGGCGGCGGAGCTTGCAGTGAGCTGAGATCCGGCCACTGCACTCCAGCCTGGGCGACAGAGCGAGACTCCGTCTCAAAAAAAAAAAAAAAAAAAAAAGAATATTTATCAAGTATTTTTAATTATATCAGGAAAAGATCACAATGTAAAGGGTTTTTTGTGTTTTTTTTTTAAGTAAAACGATCTTAAAAGCATGTAGAAGGAAATAGTCTCAATGTTAACAGTGAGACGATTGGCTTCCTCTGGGTGGTGAGATGATATATTTTCCAAATGTTGTAATGACCTCAAGGTACCACTTGGGTAAGGAGGAAGGAGGAAGAAAGGAAGAAGAGCGCCGAGGCGCAAAGGAAACAGAAAGAGGCTTTCCTTCCAATTGGGGTCCAAGTTCAATTAATTTGTAAGCTGAATTAATGTGCAGATAATGTGTTTAGCCCATATTGATGAGCATGTCTCTTCTAGAAAGGTAAAGGGTAGGCAGTTCTGTAGAGGAAACTGCCTGGCCCACAAACAAAAGTGTGTTGGATTAGAAAGCACTGAACGTGGGATAGGGAGACCAGAATGACGATCCCAGCTCTTCCCTTACTGGCCGCGTGACCCCTACTTGGCCCTCTCTTTCCCTGTGAGAAATAACAACGCACACCTAGGGTGACTCACAAAAAATAGTCACAGCCGTTATTCCACCAGGTTCTTAAAACCATGCAGTGAAGCAGGCTGGGCAGCATTTATCTTTTTGCAGAAGAAGAGCCGAGGCTCAGAAAAAGACGACTGTTCCCAGTCTCTCTGCAAGTCCGAGTAAGGCAGGGACAGGGACCAGGTTCCAGAGTCTCAGTACAGGGCTGATGGCAAGTAGCCTCGGTCCCTCAGTGCAGGGCCGACGACGAGTGGCCTCGGTCCCTCAGTGCAGGGCGGATGGCCAGTGGCCTCGGTCCCTCAGTGCAGGGCGGATGGCCAGTGGCCTCGGTCCCAGCATTTCAATGCTTATCTATGGGCCCCCACGGAAGGGCCTGGGACATATGACTGGTCACAGCCCTCCCAGTTGACTCTGAGCCAAGGTCTTCTTGCTTCTGGGTGCTTTGACAGAATGCAAGCAGGGGACAGGGAGGGGCTACCTTGAGAGGAAGGCATGATGCTGGGTGATGGCCTGGCAGTCATAGGTGGAGGAGTCGCTCTGTTTCCGTGGCAACGGCCTCTTGGGCTCCTCATCCTCCAACCCACTGGAGATGTCAATGTTGCTTTTGCTGAGACGCTTGCTGCTGGCCAGGCTGCAATCTTCCTCCACCGCAACTGGGGTGTCCTTTGGGACCGAACAGGGGACAGGAGAAAAAAGGACTGTTGTCACGGGAGACTCTGGGGCCCTGTCTCCTCCCCTCAAGCACAAACCAACCCCTTCATCCTAAGATGTGAGGGGCTACCCTTCTTCCAAAAGACACAGGAAGCCACGTCATAATCATGGTAGGATTTTAGGCATAGGCTCTCTCCCGCATCCACAGGATTGACATTCCCCCTGGGACGCTGGACGGCTGTCGAAGGAGCCAAATCCAGCTCTCCGGGCCTCAGTTTCCACACCTGTCATAATAATCCTCTGCTACTCTTATGGGATTAGGAACACACTTCTTCTTTTTCTTTTTTTTTTTTTCTTTTTTGAAACAGAGTCTCCCTCTGTCACCCAGGCTGGAGTACGGTGGTACGATCTTGGCTCACTGCAAACTCCGCCTCCTGGGTTTAAGTGATTCTCGTGCCTCAGCCTCCCGAGTAGCTGGGATTACAGGCGCGCACCACCATGCCCGGCTAATTTTTGTATTTAGTAGAGACGGGATTTCACCATGTTGGCCAGGCTAGTCTCAAACTCCTGACCTCAAGTGATCTGCCCAACTCGGCCTCCCAAAGTGCTGGGATTACAGGCATGAGCCACTGCGCCCAGCCGGATTATGATACACTTCTTTGTAACCTGGATGTCATGATGCCAACGTGAAGAACCAGCACTGTCTCCCTGAGGGGCGGGCTCTACCTCTGTGGGCACAGCCCTCCCGCAGTCTTGCCCCCCAGCCGTACCTGGGTGCTGCTGATGCTCCCCTTCCGGCTGCTGCTGGCAGGGCTGTCCCCTGAGGGCCCTGCACTGTAGCAGATGGCATCGAAGGCCAGGAGGCCCCCTACACAGTCCCCGATGAGACATACCTAGAAGAGATGCAGCTGGGACTGCAGGCCTGCCCATTGCTGACCCCTCACCCCACACCCGGCCAGAGCAGTGCTGCCTCCTCACAGAATGAGAACTCGTTCTTGGGAGGCATTGAGAGAGCCCAATTGGGAAACAGTGTGCAAACTGGGGGGTCAGGGTTGACGTCGGCCCAGGTCAGCCCAAGGACGGGGAGAAGGCTATTCTCAGGGGTCAGAGTTGGGCTGGAGAGCAGCATGGGCTCAGAATCAGAACTCAGACTGTTGGCCTCCGTTTTTCCATCTGTAAAATGAGGGCAAACTCAGAGATCTCAAAAGCCGACTTTGAGCTCAGAGGCTGATTCGAGAACAGCCTGGCCTTGTTCTTTTCAGTAGATCCCAGCCTCTCTCCCAGGCAGGGGCCGGAACGGGGGAGGGGAGAGGAGGGGAGGGCGGGCTGTCCTACCTGCCCACTGAAGCCGATCCCATCGGAGGACTTCAGGAACTCTCTGTAGACCTGGTTGGCTCGCTCGATGACGGTGGCGACAGCGTCCTGGTACTGCGGGGAGGAGATGGCCAACAGGGGAAGGGCGGCCAGAGGGACGTGGTCCTGGCTGCTGCTGAGGCAGCCCTCATCGTGGCTGTAGGGGTTCAGGCTGCAGATAGGGGGCCCAAGGTGAGCCCAGCCAGGATCGGGCAGGTTGGCAGGTTTGGGGCTGAGAATCAGGCAGAAGAGAGCGCATACTGGCCCGGAATTGGGCTCCCGGGACCCTTCAGGAAGACCCAGGCGGGAGCCTGGTGACACAGAACACAGGCAGTGTGGGGAGGAGAGGGGAAGAGGATTCAAGCCTACGCTGACTCCCTGTGTGTCCTTCCTGTGTTGGCCATGGGTGTGGGTCCTGGGGTCCCTGTGACTGTGGTCTCTATTGCCCTCTTCTGCATGGCCCCAAAGGATACCCCAATCATAGAGGAAGAAGTCAGCTGAGGAGTCAGCTAGTGTGGAACATATCATCATGGCAGACTTCCTGGAGGAGGTGGGGCTTGAACTAGGCCTCATGGAAGGCTTTGAAGAAGCTGGGAAAGGAGGAGACAGGGCATGCCAGGCTTGGGGTTCACATGTTGGCCACAGCTTGGAGCTGGGCACACGGCTACAGACATGATGTGTTCACTGTGTCACTGGGAGAAGATCAGAGCTTTCATTAGCTTTGCAGAAAGTTCTGTGACCCCAGAGGGGGCTGAGAGCCTGCCCAACAGTGTCCAGTCAGCAGATTGTCCAGACTTTGCATTGGTGCCCTCAACTCCCTACCTTCCCACTAGGAAACGCCTCCCTCTCTGGGCAACTCAGACTCACTTGAGACCAATGCCTCCGAGTCACCTGCCCCTGCCTCTGCCCCAATCTCTGCTTCTGTTCCCTGGGGCTTCCGACCCAGGTGCATTGTCGGACCTGGCTGGTTAGGAAGGACCATAGCGGGAGGCTGGGAACTCTCCACCCCTGTCCAGAGCCTGCCCTTCCCCCTTAGCCCAAGCTCAGGCTGATGGAGCCCAATGCAGATCCCACTGGCACTCGACAGAATCTGGGGCAGGTGACAGGGCTCGAGCACTCTCAGCAGGTGGCAGAGTCCTCGTGGTGTACAAGGTTGGCCCTGTCAGCCATTCCTCATCTCCAAAGAACACAAATTAGAGGAAACAGGCCTCGATTGCAGCGGAGAGATTTTAATTAGCTGAGAAAGAGCTCCCTCCCAGCCGTGATTACGGGGTGATGAATGGCCCTGGCAAGGAGCTGCCTGGGGGAGAACTAAGCTCCCTCCTGCCGGCCCGCGAATGGCTGGGCCATCCGTCTTCCTGGAGATAGAGGTGACCCAGCTCTGGAGGTCAGATGTCCTGGGGACAGGTAGAGGGGTTCCTGAGATGGATGATGAACTTGCACAGTGAAGTCCTGGACTGGCAGAGTGACAAGGGAACATGCTATGCCACCAGCTAGGCAGTGAGCAGGTGTCAGAGATGCAGATTCCGGGGCACCTCCCTCCTGAATCAGCCACCGCCCGGGGGAGGCCTGGACATCTCGCAGTTTAACAAGAATCACACCAGGGATTTGGGCAATTAGCCAGGTTGCGGAATTACGGACCTAATCTCCTTCCTTCCTTCCAACTCTGATGGAGATCTGCCCGCAATTCCTGGTGGTGTCCAAGGAATGCAGATAAATCAGAGTCTCTGACTTTCCCCCTATCCAGAGGGGGAAAAGGAAGGCCCAGGGAAGGGAAGGGGCTTCTCTCCCAACCAGCTGGAAGCTCCAGGGCAGGGGACTCTGGCCCTCCCCGCACGGAGCCCTCCTCAGAGCCACATCTGACTGAGAACAGTGGCTCCCATTCTCCTGGGGAATCGGGGGTGCGGTGTGCCCCACACACCTGGCACCCTGCTAGGGGCCTCTTCCCACCTTCCCCAGCTCCGGAGCCCCAGGGTATGAGGGCCCTGCCTGAGGGCTGGGCTCTGCAGCGGCCCCAAGTCTCTGGCAGGGTCCTGTGAGGGGGAGAGGCAGAATGGAGGTGCAGAGGCCTCCCTCCTGCCCCCGACTGAAAGTTCCCAGCTGCCAGCCCCAGCGATCTGCCAAATACCTACAGGATTTGGGCCCTGCAGGCATTTGGGTCATTTTTTACACATATGACTGCTGAGAATCTAGGTATCCACTCGGCCCCAGGCACTTACTTTTAGCTAGTTCAACAGGACAGGTAGGCGGGGAGCACTGCAGTCCTCAGGGCCTAGAGCAGTGGGTGGAGCTCCCAGAGGCCCCACACCCTGGAGGTCCCCTCAGTTTGTCCCCCACAGGTACCAGGGCCCACAGTGGGCAAGGATATGCCAGCGTCAGCAGTGAGCAAGCTACCCGGCGCTCAGCCAGCCCTTCTGTGCACACATCCTTCCCTCCTTTCTCCCCACCAGCTGGGTTCCCTACTGCGAGCTGGAAGTCTCCCTCCCCAGCCCACTCTCCACCTGCAGAGAGAGCTCCCTTTCCAGCCAGGAGGAAGATGATGTGAGTGACAGCTAGCATCCCCGAGGCTGGCATCCCCATGGTTAGCATCTCCGAGGCTGGCATCCGCATGGCTAGTATCCCTGAGGCTAGCATCGCATCTCCAAGGCTGGCATCCCCATGGCTAGATCCCCACAGCTAGTATCTCCAAGACTGGCATCCCCATCGCTGGATCTCTAAGGCTGGCATCCCTATGGCTAGTATCCCCAAGCTTGGCATCCCCATAGCTAGTATCCCCGAGGCTAGTATCCCTATGGCTAGATCCCCACAGCTGGCATCACCAAGGCTGGCATCCGCAAGGTTAGCATCCCCAAGGCTGGCATCCCCAAGGTTAGCATCCCCAAGGCTGGCATCCCCATAGCTAGTATCCCCAAGGCTAGTATCCCCATGGCTGGATCCCCACAGCAGGCATCCCTAAGGCTGGCATCCCCATGGCTAGTATTCCCAAGACTAGTATCCCCAAGGCTGGCATCCCCATGGCTGGATCTCTAAGGCTGGCATCCCTATGGCTAGTATCCCCAAGCTTGGTATCCCCATAGCTAGTATCCCCGAGGCTAGTATCCCCATGGCTGGATCCCCACAGCTGGCATCCCTAAGGTTGGCATCCCCAAGGCTGGCATCCCCAAGACTGGCATCCCTATGCACTTTCTACGTTTTGGACACTGTGTTGAGTGCTTCACACACATTAGCACACAGACTCTTCACAGCCACCCTGAGAGGTTATTTACTAAGGCTACCTTCATTGTATAGATTAGGAAACTGATCACACAGCCAGGATTCAGATCCATGCGGCCTGAGAGCCCACACACTTAGCCATGGTATGCAAACCCAAAAGTCACTGCTCCAGGAAGTCCTCTCTGGCCTTTCTCGGAGAGCCCACAGTGCCCTGTTCCTCCTCCATCACAGCACTGTGATATCATGAGGTAGACAGATAGATCAGATAGATAGATAGATAGATAGATAGATAGATAGATAGATAGATAGATAGACAGACAGACAGAGATAATGGATGGATGGATAGATGGATGGATAGAGTGATGAGGATGGACGGATAGATGGACGGATGGATGGATGGATGGATGAATACCTAGATAAATAGAAAGAGAGAGAGAGAGAGAGAGAGAGAGAGAATAGATAGATAGGTTTGTCCAAAGTTCCTGGCTCCCGTAGCCGTTGTTATAATGTTGGGGCGTTTAGGCCTTGGAAAACAGAATCAATCTCTCTCTGTCTCTCTCTCTGACATTCTCCTGCCCTCCTTTAATTCTCTCCCCAGGCAGGAACTTTCCCCCACCTTTCTGTCTTGGAGCTGGCTGTGAAGAAATTCTCTGACCTCCCTTGTTGGATTGAGGTCAGGAGACCCTCGTTTCAGGAGGGGTCCTGCCCCATACCAAGGAGGAAGGAATGCTGTGGAGAGGCCAAGAAGCATCTGAGCAGACAGGCCCTGCGGGGTTTCCCCACTCGGTCTGAATGTCAGACCCTTTTTGTCCAACCACATATCTACGTTGTCAGTCATGCCTGGCCAGTGACACCTCCATTCAAGAGACAAAAGGACAGGAGAGCTTCCAGAGAGCTGAACGTGTGGAGGTTTCTAGAGGCCGGCACACCTAGGGAAGCTCCACGTCCCTTCTCCCATACCTCACCTTATGCCTCTCTTCATCTGTATCCTTTATAATAAACCAGTAAATGTGATTCAGCATTTTCCTGAGTTCTGTGAGCCCATCTAGCAATTAATTGAACCCGGCGACAGGGTTGCGAGAACCCCAGCTGGAAGCTGTGCTGTCAGCAGTGCAGGTAAAACAAACTGGGGCACGGTATCGGTGTCGGAAGTTTGGGGCAGTCTTGTGGGACCAAGCTCTCACCCCGTGGATCTGATGCTATCTGCAGGTAGACAGTGGCGGAATTGAATTGGAGGGCACCCAGCTGGTGCCCACAGCAGAACTGACTGCTTGGTATACACGGAAACAGCCCCTCACATGTGGCCCCAGAAGTCTCCTGTGTGGACTGTTACGGTGTGAGAGCAAAGGAGAAACACCATTCGTGTTTTTCAGATTCCTACTTGGCTATGACTGTGTGGCCGAGTTTGACTCCTGTCTCCATGGGCTGGGCAACCCTGGGGGAAACTGCTCAACCTCTCGACACTCAGTGTCTTTATCTGGGCCAAGCAGAGCAGGCTTGTTGAACACAGGAAGTGGCTCAAGATTTCACAGGACCCCGGCACACCCAGGCCCAGGCGGAGGACTCTTCCCAACACCTTCCACCAGGGATGCTTGTGTTTCATCAGGATCTGACATCCTGGAGAGTCCCTGCAGGTACCCACCGGCCCATGGGGTCCATGTTGTGGGGGAAGCCCCTCCACGTAGTCCCCCCACTAACCCCAACCAGTCCAAACAAGCAGAAATGGACTCACTGAGAGACGAGCGAGAAAGCCTCAGAGCAGATGGCAGGACAGGGGACGAACTTGATGAGGATGTGGCCCAGGGCAGCAGGGAAGTGGGCTCGTGTGACCTTCTCCAGCACGGAGCTGAAGGTGTGGATGTCGGCTGCCTTGCAGGACGGGTCCCCGGCACCCGTGTCCAGGATGTTTCCCCCGTGCAGGACCAGCAGGAGGACATGCGTCTTGCAGGAGCGCTGCGGGCAGCCTTCCTGAGAGCCAAGGCGGTTGGGATACAGAAAGAGAAAGGCGGCTGGGGTAGGGGGAGGCACACAGGGACACACACATACACAGGGACACACACAGGGACACACACGCACATGCTCACACACACGGGGAGACTGAGGCCAGAGAAGCAGGCACTATGTCCAGCCTGTCTTAACTGCAATCTGAGGAGTAGTCTCAGCTCGAATACCCCCCGCTGTGTGACAGAACCTCGGGGGCACTCAGAGTGAGGGAAGGACACGGGCTGCCAGGAGGGATGGCAGGGCAGGAAGAGTCCCAAGAGACGCTTCCTGTTCATACGGGAACCCAAAGCCCAGGGAAGGACACGGACCCACCCAGGGTCACACAGCAAGTCAGATGAAGAGCTGGAAGAAAATGAGGCCGCTTATTATCCAAGGGCCGTTCCTAAAATCCCGGCCTCCGAGGCGGGCCCAGACGCCCTCCGAAACCCAGCCCACCTCGCTGTCTTCGTGGATCTCGATGCTTCCCTGGGCCGGGAACCTCTGTCTTCTCAAGGAAACCCGGTACAGTTCTCCTGCAGAGGGAAAGGAGGGCTCAGCATCCTCAGGTGATCAGACATTCCCTGGGCCCAGCTGGCTCTAAAGGTGAGGCCTTGGCTTACATCATAGGTGAGCTCAAGTTAGTTAGAGTCTGGAGCTAGGAAGAGTCACCCCATCCAGGCCCTGCCTCTGAGACCCACACAACATGAAGCCCTTTCTCCTCACAAGGAAAGGGAGGGTGGCAGAGTGAGGCCGTCGCGGATGGTGCTCCTGAAAGGAGGGGCTTCCTCGAAAGGAGCCAGCCTGCGTTTCTCCACCACAGACAGCAGCAAGGCTGAGTGCCGCCCGGCGACTTCCACTGCCAGTTACTGACGGCGATTTGAGCCAAGCCTCCCGCTGAGAACAACTCGAATTGCTGGTGTGATGGCAAATTGTATGCACCCTCTCTTGACGGGGCTGAGAGGTGCCCAGAGAGCTGGTAAAACACACTCTCTGGGTCTATCTGTGAGGTGTTTGAGGAAGAGGTTGGCATTTGAAGCAGTGAACGAAGGTGATCTGCCCTGCCAAGGCGGGTGGGCACCGTGCAGTCCGTGAGGGTCTGAGTAGAACAAAGAGGTGCAGGGAGGGAGGATTCACTCTTCTCAAGCTCCAGATTTCCATCTCCTGCCTCACACATCAGCACATCCGCTTCTCTGGCCTTGGGACTTGAACTGGGATTCATGCCATTGTCTCGCCTGGTTCTCCGGCCTTTGGGCTTAGGCTGGAACTACACCACAGGCTTTCCTGAGCCTCCCAACTTCCAGACAGCAGATCAGGGAACCTCTCAGCCTCCATCATCACAAGAGACAGTCCCTCATAATAAGTCTCTTTTTTCTTTTTCTTTCTTTCTTTCTTTTTTTTTTTTTTTTGACGGAGGTTCACTCTTGTTGCCCAGGCTGGAGTGCAATGGTGCAATCTCAGGTCACCGCAACCTCCGCCTCCCAGGTTCAAGCGATTCTCCTGCCTCAGCCTCCCGAGTAGCTGGGATTACAGGTATGCGCCACCACACCTGGCTAATTTTGTATTTTTAGAAGAGACGGGGTTTCTCCATGTTGGTCAGGCTGGTCTCAAACTCCTGACCTCAAGTGATCTGCCCGCCTCGGCCTCCCAAAAGGCTGGGATTACAGGCACGAGCCACCATGCCTAGCCAATAAGTCTCTTTTTATACATCTGTGTATATATCCTTTCAGTCGGTTTCTCTAGAGAACCCTAATACAGCTGGATAAATACTTCGCGGCGGGTGCTCAAGCCTGTAATCAACTTTGGAGCCGAGACGGGGATCAGAGGTAGAAGATCGAGACATCATGGCTAACACGGTGAAACCCTCTTACTAAAAATACAAAAAAAAAACTAGCCGGTGAGGTGGCGGCGCCTGTAGTCCGCTATCGGGGCTGAGCAGGAGAATGGCGGAACCGGGAGGCGGAGCTTGCAGTGAGCTGGATCCGGCACACACTCCAGCCTGGCGACAGAGCGAACTCCGTCTCAAAAAAAAAAAAAACTTTCAAAATGTGTGTGTGTGTGTGTGTGTGTGTGTGTGTATATATATTTGAAGTTATCAGAGAGATAATAGAGCCTTGAATTACGGGACCACTTTCTAGGGAAGGCAGACTCCCAGAGAGGTAAGGTCAGCATTTGAAACCCTCTTGGTATCCCCCATGAGCTTTAGGGTGAAGCTGGCCTTTGCCAGAAATCTCTCCTTGCTCCTCTCAGCAGCCTGGGCTCAACACCTCCTCCTTCAAGAAGTCCTTCTTCGCTCCCAGCCCTCCCTGAGCTCTCATTTCCCTCACACAGAATTCGGTAAACCACAGCCATGGACCAAATCTGCCCCACTGCCTGTTTTTTGTAAATAAAGTTTTATTGGAACACACTCAGGCTCCTTCATTTACAGATTGTCTATGGCAGGCGGCTTTTGTGCCATAGGAGCGGAGCAGTCACAGCAGACACCTTACAGCTTACAAAGCTGGAAATATTTATTATCTGGCCCTTTCCAGAAACGCTTGTCAACCCCTGATCTAACACCTACGCCCCTGAATGTCATGACATTGGACTCCTGGGTGGAGACACTTCAAAGCATCCAACGGCCACCCCCGAGCCCCCACCCAAATGATACCTGCCGCTCTGAGGACTCCTTCCTGCCTCCAGGCTGCCTTCAGCTCCTCTCCTTCCTCTCCCGTGAGATGGATGCTACCTCCCGTGTGTGGCTAAAACCTACAGCCAAGCTGAACCACCTGTTTGTCTTCAGGGAGGAGGAACTGGCTCATCCCTCTCTTAAAGTCGCAGGTTCCAGATAAAGATGGTCCTTGCCCTCTTCACACCCCCCGCACCCCCACCACAGCCTGCTGCTCCCCTCTAGGAGTCACGTCTGGGGAGGGTACTTCCGGGGGCTTTGTGGGCAACGCTAGGCACCCTGTCAACATCCCCTCACCACGACCAGCCCCAGGGGAGGGCACCTCTACAAGGAACTGCACATGAGAAGCTTTTCTCAGCAGGGAAGAGCATTTCTGAAATATCCAGTCCTCCCAGACACAATCCCAGTCAAAGGGTAACTGCTTTACGAGCTCCGAGCTGCCCACACAGACAGGAAATTGCTTCCTAAATGCAGGAGGAGGGAAAACCCATCCTGGGGCCCGGCTGTGCCCAGCACTTCCTAGTTCTTCCCACTGGCTCAGCTCTCCTGCCTAATTTCTAACTTACTAAAGACGTTGCCCTGGGCTTGGCTAGAGGAGACCCAGGCTCTCCCCTCAGGACAGGATGATAACCCAAGACAACAGTAATGGCTCAGCTTTATTAAGCACTTATTATGTCCTGGGCGCTATGTGCTTTACATGATTCATCCTGTCTGGTCCCCGCAATTTCTCTCTGAGTCTGAATGGTCTTGTAATTAGCCCCATTTTACAGATGAGCAAACCGAGACTCAACCTACGTCACCTGCCCCAAGTACCTTAAAGGTTCAAGCCCAGGTCTGCCGCTGCCAGGCCCGTTTCCACCCCATGAACTAGCACCAGGAGGGAGATGGTCTGAGTGTGGCTTCCCTGAGACAAAGCGCTCATGCTTCATGGTGTGTGCAGCTGTGTGTGCGACTCTGGGGCAGGCTGTGAGTCAAGAAGAACAAGGAGTGACGGCAGGGCTGAGGTTGGCTCTAGGGCTGGGAGGAGCGTGGTTAAAGCCAGGGACCCTGGATCACATCTGAGTTCACCTGAGTTCGCATCTTGACTTTTATCAGCTGTGTGACCTGTGCCTCAGTTTCTTCATCTGGAATATGGGGATAATAAAAGCAGCTACCCCATGGGGTGGTGGTGAGGATAGATGAGTTCGTATGCATAAAGGGCTTAGAGCAGGGTGCGGAACACAGGAAGTGTCACATGGGTTAGCTGCTATTGTTATTATTATCACTATCCAGGGGACATCCAGGGCACAGAGCCAGGGCCACAGCTGACAAGATGGGCTGCTGGGGACATTGCCGCCTCCACACTTGCCTTCCCTTGTGCCAAGTCCCTCCCTGAGCCCTGGCAGGCTCCTCGGCCTTGCTGGGCTGGGTGCCTGTTTGCAGTGTGATTACAGGATTAAATGCTGTGATTGCCACAAATTACTATGGCAAGGCTATAAATACATTGCAGGGAAGACATGAGGGTCCTGCTGTCTCCTGGGCACGATGCCCTCTGTTAGGTGGGGGCTGGACCCTGCACCCTCACCCATTACAAAAGCCAAGGAGCGCCTACATCTTTGATCTGTCTGGAGCCAGCCCCCTCGGGACCCATGTGATGCTCTGGGCATCAAATCGATGGATGACTGCTGCATCCTGGCCACCAACGATGTTGAGGCCATGCCTGGTTCCGTGGGGATGGGAGCCACAGGCCAGAGACTGGGCAGGATTATCCTCAGTATCCCTCACTCCTCCCTAGCAGGAGGGAAGAGTCTCGCCTCCTACGCTGTTTGGGGACAGAGCCTTGCTTCCTTTCCATGCACAAAAGCCAGGAATGCTTTGCTCTGGGAGATGGAGGAAGGGAGATCTAGCCTGCCAGATTTAGATTCTGGCCCCTTGAGAGGTGACTAACAGGACCAGAGCTTCCCCACAGAAAGGCACATCCCCCATCTTTGTCTTAGCAGAGGCCCCTGTAGACAAGCAGGGGCAGCCGTAGGCCACCTTCCCTGTACCTTCCCCACAGGTCTCTGCTCTTCTAAAAGCCAGATATTCCTACCATGATGATTGAGGCCATTGGCTCTGACTCACCCCTAAGACATAACCCTTTCACTCGTCCTTGCCTTTGCTCATGTGAGCCCTCTGCCTGCCTGTAAGCCCTTCCTGCCTTTGCAGACTGGCAAACTTCTACTCATCCTGCAAAACCCTGCTCAATTGCTGTCACCTCCAGAAAGCCATCTTTGATCTATCTAGGCAAAGATGGTTATCCCACAGTAGGTGGCGCTGGTGCTGGCTCACTTGTCTATTTCCCCATCAGACTGTAGGCCCCTTGAGAATAGAGTTCATCAGCTTTCAGGGCCTAGGATGGCATTTTTATGAAAACCTTTTGGAAGATCCCAGGATGCACACAGCCTGTGAGACATCTGTGCGCCATTAAACCCTCAGGAGAAATCAGGTTCAGGGAAGCATCATCCACTGAGAAGCACATTTCGTGAAAGTACTCATGGGAACTGGTATGTAGGAACCTCTAGGGATTCTAGAAGAGTCTGGTCTGGGCTCTATAATTCTACCCCTAGAGGCTTCCTCAGGGACTCTGGTGATAAAAGCAGCTGGTAGGGGGTCCTCAGGGGTGGAGAGCCACATACAGGGGACCCCAGGACCTCATCATTGGGCTGCCTGTTTCTTCCCACTTCCTGTTAATTTCTGTTTGCACGTCCCTATTCAGGCTGGGTCCCTGCAGGGCCCAGGTTTGGGGTGGGTGAGCCCACAGCTGTTTTTGTGACAGTGTTTTTTGACAGGCTTTGAGACAGGCCAGCTACCACAGTGCCAGCTCCTAGTACCCTGCTAGCACCACAT